AAGTCCTTGTCTCATCCCTTAATATTAATTAGCGGGCGAATGAATCAACGGAAAAACATAAAGTAAACATTGAGGACAAGGAGGACATAAACCCCCCTTCGAACTTACCCCTGTGACAGCGGGTCTGCTATAGGGCTTCTAGCAGCAGTTTTCCCTGCCCAGGGTACCCCCACTCTACGTAATTCCCACTCATATGCTTGTCCCCCACTCCAAAAATCCATGGATATTCTTCTTCTGGCCCTACTGCCGAGTTACCGGCACAGGCAGCTCGCCCAGCTGTCAGAATCGACCGTGGCGCCCCACCTCTGATGGGGTCTCACTTATTCTGGTTGCGACTGCTGTCGACTTGACCGACCCCGTTGGGATGTCGACACTGTCGCCATCATTATATACACTCACATTAATTTTAATCAATTGATAGAAAACAATGTTATAAACAGTGCAAATGTAAACTAATAATTCGTCTATCCACTTTTATTGTGTTTTCAGATATCATTTCCCCCTTTTTAGCTCCAAAAATGANTAATAATTCGTCTATCCACTTTTATTGTGTTTTCAGATATCATTTCCCCCTTTTTAGCCCCAAAAATGATAATCCTAATAGCCACGCAACAGCCACGCAAATACCGTGGCTCCTGGATCGCCAGGGGCCAAAAACCATACTCCGTGGCGTCACTACTGGATGGCGCCCCTTTCGCGTTCTCATTTGACAATTTTTCCGTTTGACAATTTTTCCTTACGTCACCCCGAATACCGCACTCTGATTGGTCAAAATCAGAATTGAGGAAATTGTCATACATTCGGCCAAATAAATTCTGTCCCACCTGAAGGTGGTTCCCCCGTGTTAGCCTTATGGGAGAACCACTTCATGTCGGACAGAACTTATTTGGCCGAGTGTACGAGACATGAAGAATAGAGGGAAGGAGGTCGAACTGTGTACGGAGGTATGGGACCTAAATCGAGAATTTCAAATAAATCGTAGAGGTCGCAACAGTTGCTAGTGACCAGACACAGACGCGGTGGAGAGGGAACGTTAGAATGGTATTCGTGATGTGCATGAAGAATAGAGGGATTAGTAATTGGTTTTCAAATCATAAAATTGAATCATTGGTTTTCAAAACCACTTCGTAATTGGTTTTCAAATCCTCTTTAAGGGGAGACCGCGGTGAAATTTGAAACACTCGGCTCGGCCTTAAGAGCCATTGGATGACTTTTGATATATGAAGGGATATATAAAAAAAGTGAGAAAAATTTCGGACCAGAACCGTTTTGCCCCGTATATCCACCAAAAACGTCATTTTTCACGTTTTTAGCTTAAAAATGCTCCTTGGACCACAGTTTTCATCCGATTACAACTTTTTTTTTAAAACTAGCTCTACCCCTACGGCTGGACTTCTTGAGTGCTTTTGAAAAAAGAAGATTCTAAAAATAATTTTTTTGATGTCTAAATTATTAAAATAATTTATAAAGGACATAAGCATAAGAATTATTTCATTATTAATTGTTTTCAATAAAAGTGTGAATAAATAGATTTTCAATTGACTAGCTTGGAAAAGTTAGTGGCAACACTGTAGGATAATGTGACGGGTGAGAGAGGTGACCGAGCCGTCGGTGTCACGTCTACTCCTGTTCACAATCTCCCGTGATTCTGGTTGAAAATTGTTAATAATAAACAAAACTAAACGATAAATCCTTATCTGACAGGTGCCCATATTTTTTATTATTTTTTTCTCGTTTTTAGGAAAAAAAATTAGATTTTAATCTTTGTTTTAACCGGAGCTGTGTCAAATTTAGCGTTTTTCACATAAGACCCCGTGTTAAATAATGAATTTTCAACATTTTCATTTATAAAAACTTGAACGACAATTAAATGAAGAAAAAAATTAGGAATCCGAATCACACCGAATTTTTAGGCGATTTGTTGTAGTTTTTAAACATCTTTGAATTGAAATATAACCTCCTAAGGGTAGAGCTACTTTGATGTTCGTTATACTCCAACGAACAAACCCAAGTATCCGTTTTACTTTATATTTATTAGATCATGAGAAATTTTTTTTTTATTTTTTATTTTTTTTCTCTTTTTAGCAAATTCGTTGTTTTCCCCCCAATTTTATTTTGGTATAATATTTCGATTACGTATGATTACAACGTGGAATAACGAAAAACAACTAATTTTAGCATTTGCTAAAAAGAGAAAAAAAATAAAAAATAAAAAAAAAATTTCTCATGATCTAATAAATATAAAGTAAAACGGATACTTGGGTTTGTTCATTGGAGTATAGCGAACATTTCAAAAAAAAAAGTTGAAATCGGATGAAAACTGTGGTACACGGGGCATTTCTAAGCTAAAAACGTGAAAAACGACGTTTTTGGTGGATGTACGGGGCAAAACGGTTCGGGTCCGAAATTTTTCCCACTTTTTTATGTATCCCTTCATATATCAAAAGTCGTCCAATGGCTCTTAAGGCCGAGCCGAGACTTTCAAATTTCACCGCGGTCTCCCCTTAAGAAAATGGAGTTCACAGACTGCTTCATGATCTCTTGCTTCATGTCCCAAAGCTTCTTCCCATTTTTTCCGGAGCTCAATATTGTGTCAATATTAAGGGTTTTCAGACAACGATATCTATGATTATCATTTTTCAAGTGAAAAAAAAATTTAAAGAGCTGTTATATATTCTTCTACAACTACTTACTTGGTCTGGAAACTTGAATGAATTTTTGTTACGCACTCCATAGGCTTTATTTCTGTTTCTGTCACTAGTTGTGCCTGATTTACAACCAAGAAATTGTTACGTCTGGAGACGTATCGCATTTTTATTGAAATGAAAGAAAAATTGATAATGATTGAAAAATAATGGAATTAGGAAATGATGAATAATACGTGGTTTCAATAAACATTTCGCATTGGAGGTAATCGAAAGCAAGTCTCATTGTTAATCGATATTACTCGGGAAAATATAAGAAGGAATTTAATGAAGAAAAAAGGGTTTAAAAAAAAGAATAAGTTCATGTAACGATCATGTGATCGTTGGGTGGCAACACTTTGAATTGTCTCCAAGAGCGTTATCACCAGGGGGTTCAGGTATCCGTGCCGAGGTGTACTTTGGTGCATCGACATCATGTCATGCCCCCTCCTTTGACAAACACATCAAAATTCATACACATACATTAATTAGTACATCCTCGCAATCCGAGGTAATAAAAGAGCGTCGATGCACCCCCAAAGTTAGTTCCCGCCGTTCTTCGTTCCGGGTCATTTCTCGCGTCGTCTAAACCATTCAAAAGTTGAAGAATTTGGTCCTTCTTCTTACTTCTCTCTTCAAGAGAAACTAATTAAGGTGTGAACTTCCGTTCCGAAAAATTGTAAATTTTTTTTACGTGAAATTATTGTGAAATCTAACCAACCGAATATTGGATTACTTCAAGAAACTACAAAAAAATGGATGAGTAAAACAAAATAAATAATAAATTTGATGTAAATCGGGAAATGACATGGTGAAAAGTTGAACGCTTTCAAAAATTCAAGAAAAAAAATCAATAATTATTGAATATTTGAGAATTTTAGTTCGGGGAACTCAATATAAAAAAAAGTTTCAATTCTTGATGTAAATTTTCGCGTTGATTCGAGGGAAAAATTTTATATTGTATGACAATTTATATTCAAAATTGGTGAAAATTAATCCATTTGTAAATTGTTTACTTCAAAGAACTTAATTTAAATAAATATTGACTTCATTTATTGTGAATTTTTATCCTCTATTATTCTAACAATTCACTCGACTCCAATCCCGAGCTATTACCGAAAGGTAGGCTCAAAATAGGAGAAAATAACTGTCATAATTTTCCAGAATTTATTGGATTATTAAAATTATAATTGAATATTTTTCCTGGGAAATCATGACGTAACAAAGTGGGGGCTCGTCCGGGATAAAAAGGGTGAATTGTTGGAATAAATTGAAAAAATGGTAGGAAAGAAAAATTGATTTGTGTTCAAAGGAAAAAGTCAAATTTTGGTAATAATTTTTATTGAACATTCTCGAGGAAAATAAGTCGGGATGAATTAATTTTGTGGGAAAAATAGAAGATGAATCTCCGCAATGATTTGAAAGATTATTTTTGATCTTGGACAATTTCACATTTTAAGGTTTCAGGACTCACTTTTTCACCTATATTGCCCATTAAAAAGGGAACAAAAATTGACAATAAAAATTAATTCATCAATTTCAATAATAAAATTCGATTTCCATAGAAAATTCAATTTCCAGATTAAAAAAAAATTATAAGAGTTGGCTTTTAAATGGTTTGACAGTCTGGAATTGTTTTGAGTTGAAATTTCTACATTTGGATTTGAATTGGAAATATTATAGAAGATGAAATTGCTTGATGGATCAATTTTCATTTTTGAAGATTTCAAATTTTGGCCACTTTGAAAATAGAATTTCGTATTATTTTTAGCTGAAAAGGAAACTGAAAATTGACAGGAAGAATCGAATTGATGAGGAAATTGAGGTTGAAATTTATTGGGAAATTCCGAACTTGATTTTGTTGAGAAATTCAATCAAAATTCATATTAATTTGAGTCTGGATAACAAGTACATTTGGAATAGTCCTTCCCCTTTCCCCTCTCAGTTGAGTCAATCTGCCTGGCAACTACGACACGCCTTTCGCGTAACCCGCATTACCTAACGCGCCACGGAGCTCATGCCAGCTTGCGTATTGTACTCTCTCCCTCTTCCCCGCGATACCTAACTCTCCAGGCAACTTGCACTCGCGGTATTCTCCGTATTCTTCCCCTCTTTCCCTTTCCATGAAGAAATATTACCGTTATTATTGAAAAGTTTGAATCAAAAGTAAACTTCAAATTTCAATTGACATTTGATCTATCAATTTTAGACATAAAATAATAGCTAATTCCAGGAATTTTTACAGAAAAAAAATTTTTTTCCTTTCTCCAATTCAACTATTGGAGTTTTGAGTTTTTTATAAAATTTAAATCACTCCTTTTACCATTGAATGTTCTCAAATTAAAATAATTTTTCACTTGTGAAAAAATTGTCAAAGTAGAATATTTTTAAACAAATAAGTAATCAATGAATAGAAATTTTTCTCTTGAGATTTATCTCAATCATTCAAATCGATTCAATCATCTTGGAATTTTCCTCTTGGAATTTTAATATAATTATAAATAATTTCACCAACAGAATAGAACTTTTCATAATCCAATATTGTAAATTTAAATATTTTTTTGGTTGGTTTGAATTTCAATTTTCAAAATAAATTGTAAAAAAATTTGAACAGAAATTCATCATTTAATTATTTCACATCTTCAGTCCAGAAAATTTTCCATGGAATCAATTGTCAATTTTCAAATGAGAAATATGAATTTTTCAATTAATTGTTGTCATTATAATAATAATTATTAAATGCATTGAATTAAATTTTCAATAAATAAATTATAATTTTCACGGTTTTTGTACATGCGAGAATTATTCATTGAATGATCGAAATTTGATGTTGAAAAATAAATTGAATAGAAAGTGGACAATTAGAAAATATTATTCAACAAATTATTGAGTCAACAAATTTTGTTTTCACCTTAGCAAAATTTGATAAAACCTTCTAGTTGGATCGGAAACAAATTCATCTTCTAAATAATAATAATAATAATAAAAATATTCGTTCAAAAAAAAAATTTAATAATAGTTTCAATGAAATTATTTTGAAGAGAATAATTTCATGTGGCCGTTGGAATAAAAGAGGAAATTTTATATTGTTTTCAGGGAATCGTGAGAAATCCAATATGTAACAATTAATTCATTTGAAATTTCAATTTTTGCTAAAAAAAAAAATGTCGAGAATAAATGAACCAATATTTCTATGAAGGATGCTTTGCGTTTAGTTTTGGAATTTAATGGGGAGAATATGAGTATTTTGATTTTATTGAAGAATGTGAAGATGCACGCAACAGTCTTCCCTTGAATTTTGAGTCAACATTAGTCAAGTTTTTCCGAATCAAATTGAAGGATGAAGCACGAGAATTACTTTACGGTCAAAAATTTGAAAATTGTCAAGAATTTTTCACGTATTTGAAGAAAAATTATGGCCCGAGAAAATCTATTGACGGACTCGAAGGAGATCTCGCCAATTCATATCAGGAAGAACATGAGAAAATTATCTCTTATTCTATCCGCGTTAGGAATCTTGGTCGATTATGTATTGAAATAAATAAAGAGGAAGACGGTGGACTTCCAGACTATGATAACGTAATTGAAAGGAAAATGTTTCGGGCTTTCTCAGATGGCTTACTTCGAGAAATCCGTTTGGAAATGAAGGGTCCTCCTTCTGAAAATTTCGAGGATGCCGTTGAACAGGCATTAAAAGCTGAGTCAAAGTTACAAATCATACGCAATTTACGTGGACATAAAGAAATGATTTCAGACAATGAATGTGAAGAATCTGAAAATGATGAAATTGATGAAAATGCTAACGAAAATGAAGGAAATGATGAAAACGAAGAAGAAAAATTATCCACAGGTCACGAAGAGTTCAAAGACATGAATTCTCAAATTCATAATGAATTCGATCAAACCGTGTTAGAGTGTATGCCTGTTGACAATCATTGCAATTCGGAAAAAGAAGAAAAATGCCATGTGATGTAAAGCCACGAACTATATCGGAATCAAAAATTATAATTCATGCAATTTTCAAATTGCTCGAGTTGAAAAGAAAAAAAAAACATTTGTAAATAATAATGAAAATGTTGAAGTAAAATTTGAATTTCGAGAATAAAGTAAATGTTTAAAAGCAGAGAATTTACACGAAAGACACATCAGTGGGTAAAGACAAAATGTAAATGGAGTGGGCATTGATGGAAAATGAAACCAATTTCCGTTTCAATAAAAAAAAAACAAGAGAAATTTTAATTTATTCGATTGAATAGACTTCCGATTGAGGCACCGATTTCTTCAAGCAAATATTATAAAAGCATAAGAAGTTGATTATGAGGCACGCGTCGTTTTGATAAGGGGTTCTCATATCCCTACATTGTATCAGGCGAGAATGCACCAACCGTGGTTCTCATTCTTGTACATGAGGGAATTTTTGGAAAATATCAAAACTTTGAAATATTTCGAGAAAAAAAAAGAGGAAAATAGATGAAAAAAAATTTTTTTTTTACTAATATATTTTTTTTTCTTCAGGAAAAGGAAAAATGATATATTTTGGAAGTTCAATAATTCAGGTGGTGAAATACCTGAATAATATCGTCATTATTAATTTTTTTTTTGGTAAATAAAAAAGTAAGTGAAAAATTATTTTAGAAAGGAACTCAATTCATAAAATAATAAAGTCTTCAACGAAAGAAAAAGGATAATGAGAAGATGGGTAAAAGAAAGAAAAATTGATTGACATTTGAAAAACATGGCAAGAGGGAAAATAAAATGGATAATCAGATACACATTCAAAGGGAGAATGAGAATAAATGAGCATCAATAATTAGGAAAATGAATGAAATGATGAAAATAAAGGGACAATGGATTATTGATTTAAAAAAAATGGTGTAAAAAGAAAAGATAAGAATTTACATTGAAAAGAAGATAAATGCTATTGGAAGAAAAGTCTTCAATGGAAAAAAAAATCATAAAAAGGAAAAATAAAATCCTCGGTTGAAAGGTCTCATAAAATTGAGAATATATATATACATAAAGGAAAAAATAATGAACTTCAGAGCCAGAGTGAGGACTGAAGCACTAAGAATGGGTCAGATCCGAAGCTAAATGATAAAAATGAAAATTTTTTGAGATATTCTATTAATTAAAGAGATCAAGATCGAAGAATTTGTTACCAAGAAAATGGAGGCAAAATTTGGTTTTATGTGGATATTTCTGTAGCTTACAGGAAAAGCAACTCGTTAAAATGTGAAAAGATGTGGATTTCGATATCCACCCGAGCTCCAATTCGGTAGCTTAATGGTAGAGCACCTCATGCTCTTTAAAAAAATCCATGAAACGTTTTTTGTCCCCAATCTATTCCGCCATACTTGACTTAGGAATATTTCATTCTTATTTTTATTTATCTTATTTATCTTATTATTCATTTTAAGATGAAATTAGATAAAATAAGAAATGATAATTTAAGATAAGAAATATACATATATACCTACATACATACATACATATGAATACATACTTATGTATACTTAGGTATACTTATGTATGCTTATATATGCTTATGTATGCTTATGTATGCTTATGTATAGTTATGTATGCTTATGTATGCTTAAGTATACTTATGTATGCTTATACATACTTAGGAATATTTCATTCCTATTTTTATTTATCTTATTTTATTATCTTTATCTATTATCTTAATATTGAAGTTATCAAACGAGACCTCGAGAAAAGACTACGGTCGACCAGGGGAGGAAGATTAGAAATGACAATGAATTACCATGAAATATTTGTCAATATTTAATACTTGATGCAACTTGAATAGGTGAATCGATTATTATTTATAATAATAAAACCTTTTTTAAATCTTTATGAACAATTGAAATCTACTGATCCCAACTTGTTCTTTTCCAGTTGGAATCCTTCCCTCTCTTATATGATTGGACGAATTCGAGAATCATCTGGATAATTGGAAATTGTTTTGTTGGAAGAAAGAAGAAAATGAAGTATTTCGAGTCAAACCTTCTCTCTTTCTGTTATTTCCATCTGGGTTTTGGAAGAGAGTTGGGTTAAAGGCCCCAGATAATTGAGATGATATTTCAGTCATTAATTTACTGAAATTTCATTCCAATTGCCTTTAACAGATATGTAGTTGTCGGGGTGACAACTTTTTGAAAAGAGGGACTAGTTGCGTTTTGGTTATTTTCCTCTCTCTAATTTAAATTTTCACCCCAATCTCTTTTCATCTGTAATAAACACGTTACTATTAAGTCAAGAGTATTTAATTATATGAATCCTATATAAATGAAAGGAAAATATTGACCAGCGGTAGCTCTTGTGATTCAAAGGGAAACTCTATATTTCAATAAAGGGATGAAAAATGAATGGTGAGAGAAAGGCATTACTTGCAGCCTGCCTTGAGATCATCAAGTAAATATCGACTAATATAGATGAAATGAATATTGATATTATATCTCTTCATTCTATAAGTCATAAAGAATAATCAATTAACAACAAGTCAATTATGATTTAGACTTGACCATTTCGAACTTACGGGTGGTACGCGCGCAAAGCGCGCATATATGTCTAGTGTATAAAAAAACGAAAAGACGTGGATTTCGATACCCACCCGAGTTCAATCCCGAGAACATCTTCATTTCCTTGTTTCCTTCTTCTGAATCATCACCTCTTAAATTTCATAGTGATTGGAGAAATCTTCAAAACCCTCATAAGAATTCTTGGATTTGAAATCTCGATTGATTAGACAATTTATTTTGAAAATGGTCAAATTATTGGATTTGAAGTCAAGATAAATTGACAATTTCGTTTTTGAAAAATTGTGATTAAGACGAGCTCTTGACAATTTGTGGCAGAATTTTGAGCCTGCCATGACGCAAACAAGAATGAAAAATCAATCAAGTTTTTTAAAAATCAAATTTTGGAAATTGAATTTGTGTTTGGAAATCATGATTAAGATGAAGATAACATGATTATGAGAGAATCCTTAGTTCTAATCTCGACTTGATTGAAACTCAAGTTTAATTGAAAAATAAATTCATTTTTGGAATTTGTGGTCATTATAAATCAAGAATGGGTTAAAGCTTGATCGTTTGACACAAACAAGAATGAAGAAAGATAGAAGAAAATTCCGGAATTTTTGGGGAAGACTGATTTTCGAATCATATGAAAATAAGAGAATAATCATTGAAGATTTTATTTTACAAAGCTATAAGAAAATTGAATAGTTTGTTGAAGAATGAAAATTTCACTATAGAAAGAAAATCTCATCATCCATCAAAAGGAATGGTTTGAGAAACAAAGGATCATGTTGATTAAAAATGAAAATATTGAAGACTTTGTTATTGAAAATGAATAATTGACAAACGATGACAATGTTATGAACGACAAGTATTGAAGGGAATTTTTTTTTAAATCGGAAATCCTATAAATAATCGGAAAACTTAAAAGTTACGGAAAAGAGGTAAATTGTCATTTGGAAATATTCGCTGAATTTGGATATTATTTGAGACATGGGACAAAACCGAAGCATCATTCATTTGAAATATTTGGATAAACAAAAATTTAATCATTCAAGAGGACTCCAGAGACGACAAATGGGAACAGAAGCGCACACAAAATTACTAAATAAAATTTTATTTGCAGGGAATCTCTTCTGTTTGGAAAAAAGAAGGCAACAATGTGCCAATTGAATTTTTTTTGCTTCAATAAATTTTAAACGGGAAATGAAATCAAGCGAGAGAAACTTTCATATTCATAAGCATACGCTTCTCGTATATTTATGAAATATCTATCAAGGAGAAATCGGTATTTTCTTGATAGAGGACTTCATTAAATGATCAGAGCTGAAATAATATTATTAATAATCATAAGTAGACATAGAAAAATGCGGCCCAATTTGGAAGTTTGGCATCATAATTTTCGTTGGCAAAAGATGAAGGAAAAAAAAGTTGGATTCATTATGAATACATTAAAAAAAAATTGGTATGTAATTTGGAAATGATGCAGCAGCATTAGTATCATCATCATTATGATTATTGTTATATTTGAATGTTATTTTGGATGATTGCTGAAACGAACCAAGTTACAAAATGATTTTGAAACATTTGAATGGGTTATGAAAAATTATATAAATTTTGAAAATGAATGAATTGTAGAAATCAAGAATTAAATTTTAAATTAAATCAACGGTCAGTCACTGGAAAACACGTCAACCAGGACCAGGTGAAGTCACCATCTAGAAACTCGAATCATCCCTCTGTGCTCTTTCGTCTAGGTGTCTCTATCGCGGAAAAAAAAATGTCAATTGAATAAATTCCGCAATAATAAAGTAATTCAACTACAATTAGTAGTGAATGTACTGTGCACAAACCAAGCACTTCGGAAATTTGACAAAAATTGATCAGATAATTAACGATGCTCTTCTTGAAACAAATCGATGAGTTCCATATATAGAACAACATTCTTCATAAACATTATATTTGATGAATTACCACGGCATACGCAATCATGTGGTAAGAGTGTTTTGAACACTACAATTTAAAAAAAAACTGAGAAAAATTATCAAAATAAAAAAATTATTTGAAGAAATATTTAAAAAAAAAAATTTGTAAACACAACGTCACTGAATTTAATCATTGAAATAAGGTTTGTATAGACCATCGAAAATTTTAAATTACTTCCGAGCATTTTTGATTCAATCAATAAAATTTGTGGAACAAGTCAATTGGTTCCATTGAAAACTATTCTTCATGTACAATTAAAACGGAAGAATATCCCCAGTGTACGCAGTCGCACCGTGGGCTTCCTCTCTATGCAACTGAAGAGAGAGACAGAAGATCGTCTAATCAAAGTATCATTTTATTTCCAAAAGCAATTGGCAAAACTGAATTGATACAAGAGACATAAGAGATGAGAGTACAGAGGATCATCAGAAATATTACGCAGAGACATCATCGTAGCAGGACTCGATACAAAAAAAAAGTGAAGTGATGTAATTTCTTTATGGCCTTTCTGAAAAAAAGTGAAGTGATTTAAGTGCAAACTTGATAGGGAAAAAGCAATGAGAATGAATGGACGAATGATTTATTATAAAAATTTTGATGTATCAATAATAATTTCGATTTATCGAATGGGAAATTGAATTGTGATATTATTGCAGTTCTGATCATATTGTTATTTCTTCTTCGAGACGCTAATAACTTGGGAGATCATTGCAACTATTGAAAATCAGAAAAACAGGATATTGATAATGAAGATTGCAAAATATGAAAACAAGAATGATACAATGGATTGAACGATTGTTCTCCGATTTCATCGATAACAATCGTCTAATCAGGGGGGTGTTACGTCTGGAGACGTATCGCATTTTTATTGAAATGAAAGAAAAATTGATAATGATTGAAAAATAATGGAATTAGAAAATGATGAATAATACGTGGTTTCAAAAAGCATTTNCGAAACAAGTCTCATTTTTAATCGATATTACTCGTGAAAATATAAGAAGGAATTTAATGAAGAAAAAAGGGTTTAAAAAAAAGAATAAGTTCATGTAACGATCATGTGATCGTTGGGTGGCAACACTTTGAATTGTCTCCAAGAGCGTTATCACCAGGAGGTTCAGGTATCCGTGCCGAGGTGTACCTTGGTGCATCGACATCATGTCATGCCCCCTCCTTTGACAAACACAACAAAATTCATACACATACATTAATTAGTACATCCTCGCAATCCGAGGTAATAAAAGAGCGTCGATGCACCCCCAAAGTTAGTTCCCGCCGTTCTTCGTTCCAGGTCATTTCTCGCGTTGTCTAAACCATTCAAAAGTTGAAGAATTTGGTCCTTCTTCTTACTTCTCTCTTCAAGAGAAACTAATTAAGGTGTGAACTTCCGTTCCGAAAAATTGTAAAAAATTTTTATGTGAAATTATTGTGAAATCTAACCAACCGAATATTGGATTACTTCAAGAAACTACAAAAAAATGGATGAGTAAAACAAAATAAATAATAAATTTGATTTAAATCGGGAAATGACATGGTGAAAAGTTAAACGGTTTCAAAAATTCAAGAAAAAAAATCAATAATTATTGAATATTTGAGAAGTTTAGTTCGGGGAACTCAATATAAAAAATAGTTTCAATTCTTGATGTAAATTATCGCGTTGATTCGAGGGAAAATTTTTATATTGTATGACAATTTATATTCAAAATTGGTGAAAATTAATCCATTTGTCAATTGTTTAATTCAAAGAATTTAATTTAAATAAATATTGACTTCATTTATTGTGAATTTTTATCCTCTATTATTCTAACAATTCACTCGACTCCAATCCCGAGCTATTACCGAAAGGTAGGCTCAAAATAGGAGAAAATAACTGTCATAATTTTCCAGAATTTATTGGATTATTAAAATTATAATTGAATATTTTTCCTGGGAAATCATGACGTAACAAAATGAACACCTCCGTGTCATTATCAAACTTTTAATTTCATTCAAAAATAATCATAGAAATCGGAATAAAAAAAGAGCATAAGAAGAGTATCGACGAATAAATTGGATTTGACGGCAGAATCAACAAATACACTGATGTATGTAAACTCTTATGTCCGTGAGTGGGTCATAGTGAACCCAAGAGCCACCTGCAGGAGTCTTCGTCACCTACCGTGGCGATTCATTTTCCCTCCCCATTTTCAATGGAAGTCCCCATCGCAGTTCGACCTCCTTCCCTCTATTCTTCATGACCACGAGAGCTTCGAAATTATCGGGTATTTCCCGATAGGTTCGTTGCAAATAAACGAAGGAGTCATGTTTTTAGCCTAAATAACTTGAAGACTTCGTTTGTTTGCCGGGAGCCTATTCTCGAATTGAAATCGTACGATCGAATTCGACGAGTCCTATGCGACTCATGGTACGCCTTATGGGTCGCATGCGATCTGCCGAAATCAAACGCACAATTTCAACTCGAGAATAGACTCCCAGGAAATCTTGAGGGAAATACCTGATTAATTTTGAAGCTCGAATGGTTTTCGGGAGAGAATTTTTCTATCCAGATTTCGGCCAAGAGAATTGCACCATGAGACGAAATCAATCTGTCAGTTTCGGCGAACGGTTCACTCAATTGAACCATCTTTTGTTGTTTTTATATAGCAACTATCCCGTGAAAAGCCTGCAGGTTGTACCCATAGAGGCATAATACCTAGAGCGCTCGTTCGACTCCCGAGCTTACGGAAATTCAGAGAGATAGCCTGCGTAGCGGTCCACTCTCCCTCTCTCCCCTCTCTCTCCCCCCCTCCCCCATCTCTTCGAATGAGGTCTGGCCTGACGTAAGGACCCTTGTGAAGTTTGTACACTCCCTCGCAAGGATGGATT